TCAGTGTAGGTACTATTAAGTCCATCAATTGCCTTCATGTCATCAACCATCATATAAAAGTGAAGTATTTTTTGATGCCAGACATATTTTATTCACCATACACCTACGGCAAACTACTGCTGTCACAAGAGGTAAAAAAATCTATGCATAAACTTATTGTGCATTGAAAAACATGCACAAGAAACACTTAAAAACTGATACTGATCCTTCTCCATTAATTCACGTACATAAATCATTAGTTCGAAAAGCAAAAAAAAAAAAGACAAGTCAGTCACATTCATCTTTTGTGTTTCTATACCTGTACAACCTATACTGTCTTTTTCTTAAAAAAATTAAAAACTTTATATTATGCATAAATTATAAAAAAAAAAAAAGAATGAAGAAATCAAATATTAATAAACAAGTTTCGAGAAGAACCAAAGAAAACAGCAATCGAAAAAAACCGAAAAAAAATCACTTTTAGAAGTTTCAACAACCCCAAATGACAAACACAAGCAACCAGATTAATCTACTAGGAAAATATGAAAAAACAGAGTAACACTTCCGACACCTGTGCCAAACATTATTACTCTGAACAGGATAAGACTAAGCTCTAATCATATCCAAAGCTACAGTATAAAACTTCCAATCTTTCTTTCCCAGTCCATCCCATCTGCCATACTTCTTCTTTGGTTGATTTCTGTTAAAGCTAAAACGAAAAAAAAGAAGCCGATTGAAGCAGTAAAATCAAATTGGAAGGAAACTGACTGGCTGGAAAAAAAAGCATCAATGTCAAACTGATTACCACATCCGACTTAATTTTCTTCATGCAAAAAAAAAGCAAACATAAATTGAACTGATGGTTGCGATTATTTTGAGACTAAAAAGATGATAAGGAAGCAGCAACAATAAGCTAAGGGTATTGAAAAACGGCAGAAAAATAGTTGGTGAAAAAAAGTTTAATTAAATACGAATTGTTGCAAAAATAAGACGATAATGATGTAGGAAAAAACCTCTCAAGCTTCTTAGACATAAACAATACAAAGAAATAATGCTGAGGGATAAAGTAAAGATGGCCAGTACCAAAATGTGGATAGTTCAGCTGAGCTCCCTCTGTTCAGTTCAATTCAGCTCTGTTTAGTTCAATGCTTTTCAATGCTCTCCAATTCAAATTCTTCTTGAACGTTAAGAAACCGTTAAAAAACGCTTGACCAGAACGAAATAAGTGCCAAAAAAGTGGAAAAAAAACCAGAAGAAAATAATCAATGCATTCATCTTTTTTTTGGCAAGAAGCTTCAGAAAAACTGTTATTCATATTGCCATCAAACGTTGTGACGTTATATTCTTCTCTTCTGTTATGTGTTTTTTCAGCCTCCATTTTGGTCTCATAAATAAATGAATAAATGAACAAATAACTAAATAAATAAGTGGACAGATATATATATATATATATATATATATATATA